TTGTAGGATATTCTGTGGTGTTAAATCTGACCTGCCGCTGTTTTGCTTCTGTTTTGGATGTTCAGAGAAGTTTTACAGTTCAAAAACAAACTTAGTGTTTCATTTAAGGGTTAAAACGTCCAAATTAAAGATCATTAAACTCAATATGTGGCTTTATTATTGTTTAAAGTATACTTTAATGCATAAATGATTCCTGGATTTATGATATCATTTAGTTATAATAGGCAAAACGGACAAAATAGATATGTAAATGAACCTTTTCCAGCGTATGATCACGCTATGGGAACAGTAAAGAGAAGCGACCTTAATAACGTTCACCATAAACAACTATTTAAGTACTTGCAGCATATGCGTGAAAGGGTTAAAGTCGTGTTGTGTGTGTGTGTTCAGCAGAAGGCCAGTGTGAACAGTGAGTCTGCAGAGGAGCAGGATGAGCCCCAGCGGTCGGCTCCTCCTCGAGGGAAGTTCGTCTCAGCAGACGTCTCGGCGGTGGAGCGAGCCCGTCGGCGCCGCGAGGAGGAGGAGCGCAGGGCTCGAGAGGAGAGACTGGCGGCCTGCGCTGAGAAACTCAAGAAACTGGATGAGAAGTTTGGCAAAACGGAGAAACCTGCTCGCTCTGGAGAAGCAGACGGCAAGGAGCTGGCGCAGTCTCCCGCTCGCAGATCCGCAAAACCCCAGCAGGATGGCTGGCAGTACGGCTCCAAAGGTGCACCGCTCCACACTCACTCTTTATTCTGCAATTGATTCAGAGAGGTTTGCAAGTAGAGATAAAAGAAGCACTTACAGTCATTAGAGAGTTTCAGCATATACAGTTGAAGTCAGAATGTGAATTTTTGATATCTGCAGTCTGTCAAATTCAGAAGTTTAAACATGCATCTTAAAGGGCCATGAAAGCCCCTCGTTTCAGCAGGGTGTTTTCACACCTCTACTTTGAAAAAAGTCAGAAAAGTGGGCGTGTCCAGCTCTGTTTAGGGGGGAGTGTCGGAGGAAGAAAAGAGGCTTGGTGTTCACACACACACACACACACACACACACACACACACACACACACACACACAGGGGAGAAAGTGACTGTTTACATGGAGATCTGTAGTCGAATTATTTGCCAAATGATTAAATGTTGGACTTTAACTGCAGTTTGGCTCTTTCATTCAGGGAATTCATTCATGTCCCTCCCGACAAATGAGATATTTGATTCGAGGAGCTGCTGTAAGCATGTATTTTTCATGCAATGTTTGATACCGCACGGCAAATGAGAGAAAAAAACTCAGCATTTCCCGGAGACTTAGATGAACACGGCAGGTAGCGTCAGAAAGCCGCGTGTGTTATTCCGGTCACTAAATGCGGTGAAAATCCTACACGAGGTTAAAGTTTGGTTGTGGTGCTAACATGTTTACTCTCGGTGCAATAGTTAACTTAGTTCGATACGAACAAACTGAATAAACAAATAGCACTGGTCGCTCACTTACCAAATCTGTAGAGACAGGACAATCACCAGCAACTAGAGCCGCGTCTTTATTAAGAGGAGACGAGCAGCGAATCCAGATCTCAGCGTTTGCAGATGAGAACAGCTCTCAGGTAAACAATAATCCTCCTTAGACACGTAAGTTATTGTTGTGGAGCGTCGCGTACACTGTTAATCCACACGTGACTCCAGCTGCGCTCTCACAGAGAGAAAATGAAAACAAAACTTCACTGCAGCAAACTATAAAAGCAACACTTCACGCTTGTTTTGCCAACACAACGTGGCGTCTCTGTCGTCTAAACACTGTGACAGTAATGAATATTAATGAAGTTGCACAATAGAGCGCGCTGATTGGTTTGAACCAAGCCTTACTCATGCATTAATGCAGCACACTGTAAGACGTAATAAGACTCACTCTGGCACAGACGTCCAGTCTGCACGCTGCAATACACGCTATTATGTCATGACCGTGACGCAGCTTCAAAAATTCGTTTCAAACCGGAAGTACGAATTTGCTTGAAATAACGCAAAAACAACCAATTTACACTTTTTAGTGAAAATATAGGCGTCCTAATAGTGTTTTTAGCAGTGTGAGACACATATACCACTGTCAACAGCTCAACACATGTGTTCTGGTGTTTCGTGACCCTTTAAGAAATTCAGCCTTCAATATTCATTTGTCTTAAACTTCAGATGTTCAATATTCAAGATCTGAAATTATAAGAAATTCAAATAAAAAAAAAATTCAGATTTATTCAATTACAATTGTCAATAATTCAAATGAACACAATTCAGATGGTTTTGGCATATGATTCGCTCCATACAGCTGTTTGTGCTTGTAACTACAGCACGTCAATGCATGTCAAAAAAAAGCTCATCAATCTCATCGGTTGAATAGTTTTTAACTTAAAACAGCACATCAAACCAAAAATACAATCCCATAATCATCATCCCAGTGTGCACCTCGTCAAAATGTCAGACTGTACCACAATATAGATGTCAGAAGCAGAGTGAGGACTGACTGAATGTGCTTGTGTACAGAAGTGACGGACACGCCAGCGGAGTCAGCCTCCAGTCAGGATTATAAAGATGAAGGCTGTAACTTCCACAATAATGATGATGAGGATGATGATGGTGGCGAGTCCACGTCTCCTGTGCCGGAGTACAGCCGACATCAGAAGCCTGTGCCGCCACGCTTCCAGAAGCAGCAGCAGCAGCAGGTCAGCGTTCACCGCTTTATACCCAGCACACACACATGCATTTATCTCTGAGCGCTTTGGGTGTTTGTTAACACGAAAACACAATATTGAGCGACTAAAACCAAAGATTTCTGGCCAGGCTGAAGATTTTCAGAATTTCCGGGTACACTGTGGTCATGTGGATACATAAAATAATATTAATTAATTAATATTATTAATTAATATTAATTAAGTAATACTAATAATTAATATTATTAATATTAATTAATAATAATAATAATAATAATTATTATTATTATTATACAATATATCAGTGAAGATTAAACAGACAATAGTTTGATGTTATCAGTTATGGCCAAAATAATCAGCCCCCCCCCCACCATATATCACCCAGAGTTTGGAAACCCCTGCTGTAAGGTTCAATGTGTGTTGTCTTGGTCCAGGAGCAGGTGTATAAGCTGGCGTCGTGGCAGCAGTCGGCTCACCCAGCTCAGCCCAGCTCTGCTCACCCGCAGCGGGGCTTCTACCCTCCTCATGTGCTGGGCTTCGACCCACGCTGGATGATGATGCCACCATACATGGACCCCCGGCTGGCACAGGGCTGCTCTCCTGTGGACTACTACCCTCCTGGAGTCCACTCATCAGGTACACTACAGACATGCAGACTAGTTATTATTTAACCCTTGTGTTCTGTTCAAACTGGAATAAGCCCCTCACAACACAGTAGACACACACACACACACACTATGATCTGCTGTTTTACTCCATATGGAAGCCAGAAACTCTTGAGCACAGGCCTGTGTGAAGGGTTTAGGTGTCACAGTGAGGCTAATCCACTGGGTTACTCCGCTCGCATCATTCTAATGTGTTTGTCAGGTTTGGTGAAGCCTGTAATTCAGCCGGATCACCTGAACAGTCCTGGCTCCACCTCGGATGAAGGCTGCCACCCCAGCATGCATCAGGAGAGGAGAGCGCCGTCCACCGAGCCCTATCAAGTGTGGAACCAGGACAGCTACCCCTCAGCGCGCAGTTTCACCCCGCCGTATCAGCGGACGCATGAGAACGGGGAGAGAGCTCCAGCGGACGACAGGAGCGACAGATCCACATCCAGACACGACTCTTATGAAGAGCACAGACACGAGCGCACGGACAGCCCAGCCGAGGAAACAACACACCAGGGTTAGAGCTTTGCTTTATTATTATTTTCTTTCAACTAGTGCAGTTTTATCCAGGATAAGAGAATGTGTTTACATAATGGACCCTTGTCACGAGATCAGCAGCATCCTAAATCCTTTATTTTATTCGCATTTATATGCATTTAAATACGCTTTATATCAACTTTGCAGCAAATTACAACAACACATTGTGTGTAGTGAAGTGTGTATGGGGGGCAGGACAGTAAATCTGACTTGATTCTCTCCTCTGGCTGCCGTTATCAGTCTCGCTTTAGTGTTTTCCTTGATGTCTTGATGACACCGATCCTGGAGTTTTTCTGTTATTATTTCAGCAAATACACCAATCACTTTAATACTAAAGATATATATATATATATATATATATATATATATATATATATATATATATATATATATATAATGCGCACACACACATATTACATTTATATACACAATGCACAAATATATTGTATTGATGTTTTTATTTGGATGCAATTTAATTGTTTTGACGGCACCAATTTTTACAAATTGTATTTCAGTTTGTTTATTAGTGATTATTGTTAGTTTAGTTTACATTTTTTATTTTTGTTGTTATTTCAGTTAACAAAAATGATTTTGACCAGTAGTTTTCATCTATTAAAATAATCTTGGTTTGGTTGTAAGAAGCGACATCTACTGGTGTTTCACTGAACAGCCACAGGTCAGGTTTACCACCACAGTAATGCTGCATATTAGTTATGAAACTGTTTTTTTACTATTTATTTAATTACATTTTGATTTTCAGTTTGTTTTTATTTTCATTTAGTTTGTCTTTCATTTGTGATAGATTCATTTTATTTTAATTAACGAAACTATTTTTGACCAATAGTTTGTTTTTATTAACTACAATAATCTTGGTTTTCTTGTAAAGGCGCCATCTACTGGTGTTTCTCTAAACAGCCGCAGCTCAGATTTACCACCACAGAGAATTAGTGCTTATTAATTCTAAAAACTATCATTTAATTTGTCAAATTATTATTTTGTTTCAGTTTGTTTTTTAGTGACTTTTATTAGTTTCATTGTTTTGAAAATTTTTGACCGAAAGTTTTTGTTTACTATATTAAAATAACCATGGTTTGGTTGTAAAGGCGCCATCTACTGGTGATTCTCTAAATTGTCGAAGGTCAGATTTTATACCATGGAGTGCTTAATTCTGAAAACTGTTAGTTTGTTTTCATTTGTCATTTGTTCATTTTATTTTTAATAAAGAAAGTTATTTTGACCGATAGTTTTCGTTTACGACAATAACCTTGGTGTGGTTGTTGGTTGTAAAGGCGCCATCTACTGGTGTTTCTCTAAACAGCCACAGTTCAGACTTAACCCCACAGACAATTAGTGCTTATTAATTATGAAAACTATTGTTTATTAATTTTTCTAATTATTATTTTCAGTATATTTTCAGTTTTGGTTTACTGAAGTCTCCTTGGGTGTCTCTTAGGTTTCCGGCAGGGCAGAGTGTCAGACGGGTCCCAGCGAGAACCCATGATGCTCAGCAGGACTCATGATGATGCTCAACACCAGAAAGAGGAGCCCTACGACAGCAAGGAGAAAAGCTATGAGGCTGATTTCTGGAGGCGAGACGTGCGGAAGGAGAGCAGCGGTCAGACGCAGTGGTCCGATCACGGCTCCAGCAGCAGCAGCAGCATCAGTCAGCCCTCCGAGACCAGCGGCAGAACCCTGCGCAGAACCGGACCCATCAAAAAACCTGTGCTCAAGCCTCTGAAGGTGCGATCCAAATGTCAATAGTGCAGTTGTTCAATTCAAGTTTTTCTCTAGAGCTTTTCACAATGATTACAACAAACAAACATTGTCAATAATGGCAATATTTGATATTTTATAGACATTTATTTATATCAGGAGAGACTTTTAAAGGCTCATATATTTACAGCTTTTGTACAAATGTGTGTAAATATATGTATTTATTCAGTTTTTATATTATGGTAATATTAAACACTTTTGTTTAGTATAGAATAGGTTATATACAGCTTGTTTAAGCGTTATCTGTTTTTGCCATGAAATACTCAGAGAATATATGGAAATAAACTCTCTCTTCCTGCAGGTGGAGGATAAAGAGAATGAGAAGCCCAAAGCGGAGCCTGAGGAGAAGCCGGTCCCCTACAGGTACGCTTATGATGATGGATTTAAATGGTTCAGATCTTATCTTGAAGGTAGAGGTTACCATGTCAGTATAGGTGACCATAGGTCGAGGTGGACACGTGGAGTCCCTCAAGGCTCGATTCTGGCACCTCCTGCTGTTCAACCTTTACATGCTCCCTCTGAGCCAAATAATGAGACAGAACCAAATCTCTTACCACAGCTCTGCTGATGACACTCAGATCTACCTAGCCTTACTGCCTAATGACTACAGCCCCACTGGCACCCTCTGCCAGTGCATTGATGAAATTAACAGTTGGATGTGCCAAAACTGTCTTCAGTTAAACAAAGAGAAAACTGAAGCCATTGCGTTTGGGAACAGAGATGAGCTTCTCAAGGTGAATGCGTACCTTGGCTCTAAAGGTCAAACAGCAAATAATAAGGTCAAGAATCTTGGTGTGAGTCTGCAGTCAGATCAGAGTTTCAGTAGTCATGTCAGAGCAGTCAGTAAATCAGCACACTATCATCTCACACACACTGCTGGAGTCAGATGCTGTGTCTCCAGTGACGACTCGGTGATGCTTTTATCAGCAGCAGGGTGGATTACTGTCACTGGCCTTCCCAAACACACAGTCAAGACAGTTGCAGGTTATCCAGAACAGGATTCTGACCAGAAAGGGGAAATCAGCGCACATCACAGCTGTCCTCAGGTCTCTACACTGACTCCGTTACGTTCAGAATAGAGTTTACAGTATTATTACTGCTCTATACATCACTGAATGGCCTAGCAGCTCAATACATTACAGATATGCTGACTGAACACACACCTAACAGATCAGTCAGATCATCAGGATCATATACACTAGAAACTCCAAGAGTTCAGTCAGAGCAGGGTGAATGGGCCTTCAGCTGCTAACAGCGCCCCCTGCTGCTGGAATCAGCCTCCAGAAATGATCAGATGTGCTCCAACATTAGGCTCATTCACATCAGGACTGAACACACATCTGTAGCTGAGCCTTTACTGAATGAGCCCTGTGCTGTGGCTCACTCTTTTATAACCTGTTTAACACATTTAATCTGTTTTTAATTACTGTTATTATTTGCTTGTCTTTTTCATTCCTGTTTATGTAAAACACTACTAATTGCCACTGTGTATGAAATGTGCTATATTAATAAACTTGCCTTGCCTTGTTGCGATTTAATAGCTTAAGCTTTTATCATGATATACAGTATTATCACGGTATTGACACAGTCTGCCAGAATTTGTATAATTACAAAAAATATATTGTGTATTGTTAGTGTTATTGCATTTAATCAAGCAATTGTGACATAATGAGATTACAACTTTGTTTTAAATGCGTTATCATGCATTAAATAAGAAATTAACATCAGCTAAGATTAATAAAAGCTGTTGTAGTTTTAATGGGGATTTTAATGCTAACTATTGGAGCCTTATTATATAAAAATAGTTAACATTTAAAACCCTGTAAAATGGGGCTGTGTGCAATATAATGATATATATCATATGGACAAGATAAACCGTTTCATATTACGCTCTATCATTTATTCCATATTATTATTGTTTTATGGTAATACTTTTTCATAAGCACAATACTCAAACCGCAGAGCTGCAATCGTTTGTATTGTATTTAGCGATTATTTTTGTTGATTTATTATATTTTATTAATATTTATAGTAGATTTCTACAATTATAATCAAACATGAGTGAGGACATTTCAGAGTATACGCTTGATTTAAGCGTTCAATGATGCACTCGAATAAATTATGAAAAATCCTTCGCGTAAGCAGTGTATTTTGTGATATCGTTATACTAACGATAGACTGTTTAATTTGTCCCTATGTTGTATGTTGTAATATTGTACACAGCCCTATTATTCACAGTATTTTAAAGTGCTCATGATATCAATATATTTATTATTACGATTTATTGAATGTCAAACTCTGCCCCCTACAGGCTGGAGAAGGAGGTGATCACCAATGTGTACGACCTGAAGAAAGACGCTCCGCACGTTTCAAACAGACACTCCAGCAGCGTCGAAGACAAACAAGCAGACGCTCTGAAGATGGAGAAAACCAGCGCGTTATCTGAAGAGCTCCACAAGGAGAGCTGCTGGGAGAAATCCCAATCCGACTGCTCCGACAGCAGAGATCCGACCGCTCCGAGGCGCAACAACTGGATCTTCATTGATGAGGAGCAGGCGTTCGCTGGAGCACGCGGTCGAGGACGGGGACGTGGCTTTCGGGAGTTTAATTCTCGCGGAGGCGGAGCTCGTGGAGGACGCAGCGACACTAATAGAGGAGCGTACAATAATAACAACAACAACACGGGCGCTCAGAGACTCACACGAGGACGCGGAAACCGAGTGTTTAGAGGGGACGATCTGCAGAGGGGAAAACCGCGCAGACGAAACGTCAGCGAAACGCACAGCGAAACCTCCGAGTACGAAGAGCAGCCCAAACGTCCTCGGCAGAAGGTGTCGGAGAACGGCGGAGAAGCGTCAGGAGAGGTTAAAAAAGCCGACAGGGAATCCTGGAGATCCAATAAAGTCTACACTGACGATCAAAGCGAGAAACCCAAATCTAGAGTGTTCGGGCGTTCGTTCCCGCCGCGCCTCAATGCCGCGTATAATCGCGGATTCACCGGAACCAGAGATATTTCAACGTGGAGAGGAAGAGGAACGCAATTCGGGAGTTCCTCCAGTCAGGAAAACGGCTACAATTTCGTTGCGGACTCTTATTCGAAGCGCACCGAGCCGCTGAAGTATCCTGCTAAATTCACGGGCACGTTTGCGGAGAACGGCGTGGAGGATCGTGACGGAGGATATTATGTTGATGATAATCCGGATAATCGTCCGCTGAGGAGAAGGCGTCCACCACGGCAGGATAAACCTCCACGGTTCCGCCGTCTGCGTCAGGAGCGGGACGGAGCGGGAGCCTGGAGTAATGATGACTACGTGAACGGAGAGTTTCCCAATCAGTGGCCGAGCAGAGCGAAGAGTGCGGAGGAGCACTGGCAGAATCACTACCCTGGAGGACGCTCGCAGGTACGGCTGTGGCGGATTTAGATGTTCTTGTTGTGACTTATTTGTTAGTTTTTATCATGGTGGCCAGATTATTATAATATAGACCAAGGATCGAGGTTGGACCGAGTTTGGGCAGGACCGAGTTTGGGCAGCCCTGATATAGACTATAGGGATCCTCTGATTAATTGGCCAGATATCGGTATCAGCCGATAATCACATTTCATGACTCGATTGATCAGGCTGATCTCATGAGCCAATCACAAGTGTTTGTTTACAAGTTTACACGCAGGGGACGATGTATCCGGGTTAGGCGCTCAGCTCGAGCAGTGTTTCCAATTTGCACTATAACTCATTTCTTTACAATTCTTTAATCTGTTTTCTTTGTGTAAAGCTGCTTCTGACCATTACATGTATACAACATCCTTAATTTACTATCTTAGGTAAGGCAAGATCTCAAACTTAAAGGGTCACGAAACACCAAAACACATTTTTTGAGCTGTTGACAGTCGTATATGTGTCCCACACTGCTAAAAACACTATTAGGACACCTATATTTCACTAAAAAGTGTAAATTGGTTGTTTTTGCGTTATTTCAAGCAAATTCGTACTTCCTGTTTGAAACGAATTTTTGAAGCTGCGTCACGGTCATGACATAATAGCGTTGTATTCCAGCGTGCAGACTGGGCGTCTGTGCCAGAGTGTGCCTTATTACGTCTTACAGTGTGCTGCATTAATGCATGAGTAAGGGTTGGTTCAAACCAATCAGCGCGCTCTATTGTGCAACTTCATTAATATTCATTAGTGTCACCGTCTTTACACCACAGAGACGCCACGTTGTGTTGGCAAAACAAGCGTGAAGTGTTGCTTTTACAGTTTGCTGCCATTAAGTTTCGTTTTCATTTTCTCTCTGTGAGAGCTCATCTGGATCACGTGTGGATTACAGTGTACGCGACGCTCAACAACAATAATTTACCTGTCTAAGGAGGATTATTGTTTACCTGAGAGCTGTTCTCATCTGCAAACGCTAAAATCCGGATTCCGGATGTAGTCTTCTCTTCATAAAGACGCGGCTCTAGTTGCTGGTGATTGTCCTGTCTCTACAGATTTGGTAAGTGAGTGACCAGTGCTATTTGTTTATTCAGTTTGTTCGTATCAAATAAGTTAACTATTGCATTGAGTGCAAACATGTTAGCACCGCATTTTGTGACCGGAATAACACACGCGGCTTTCGGACGCTACCTGCCGTGTGCATCTAAGTTTCCGGGAAATGCTGAGTTTTTTTTCTGTCATTCGCCGTGCGGTATCAAACATTGCATGAAAAATACACGCATAGAGCAGACCTTCGAATCAAATATCTCATTTGTCGCGAGGGGCATGAATGAATTCCCTGAATGAAAGAGCCAAACTGCAGTTAAAGTCCAACATTTAATCATTTGGCAAATAATTCGACTACAGATGTCCATGTAGGTTAAACACCATCCCTTTCTCCTGTGTATTTTGACTGAAACTCGCGCGTGCCCAAATAGACACTCCCACACCCTCCCACTTTAGTTTCTCCGACACTCCCCCCTAAACAGAGCTGGACACCCCCACTTTTCTGACTTTTTCCAAAGAAGAGGTGTGAAAACACCCTGCTGAAACGAGGGGGTTTCATGGCCCTTTAAAGGGAAATTGTGCATAAGCAATGGCAGAGTTATGTAAAGCTTGAAGAATCAGTATCGGTACTCAGTATTGGCTGCAAAAATCCTGATCAGAGCATCCCTAATAGACTATTAATCCAAATGATTAATTCTACAAACATTTGTTGCTGTTATGTTTGCAAATAGTTTGAGTATTCTTAAAAAGCACTCAAAATAGTTAAAAAAATAAAATAGAGTAAACGTTAAAATAAGATGTCACAGTATTTCAAAGTGCTCACAATATTGTGCACGTTCATTATTATGACGAGACTGAATATCTGCATGTGTTTGTGGATGCATATCACAGTATATTAAATATCTGCATGTGTTTGTGCATGCATATCACAGTATATTAAATATCTGCATGTGTTTGTGCATGCATATCACAGTATATTAAATATCTGCATGTGTTTGTGCATGCATAACACAGTATATTAAATATCTGCATGTGTTTGTGCATGCATATCACAGTATATTAAATATCTGCATGTGTTTGTGCATGCATAACACAGTATATTAAATATCTGCATGTGTTTGTGCATGCATATCACAGTATATTAAATATCTGCATGTGTTTGTGCATGCATATCACAGTATATTAAATATCTGCATGTGTTTGTGCATGAATACCACAGTATATTAAATATCTGCATGTGTTTGTGCGTGCATAACACAGTATATTAAATATCTGCATGTGTTTGTGCGTGCATAACACAGTATATTAAATATCTGCATGTGTTTGTGCATAAAAGTAACAGTATATTAAATATCTGCATGTGTTTGTGCGTGCATATCACAGTATATTAAATATCTGCATGTGTTTGTGCATGCATATCACAGTATATTAAATATCTGCATGTGTTTGTGCGTGCATATCACAGTATATTAAATATCTGCATGTGTTTGTGCATGCATATCACAGTATATTAAATATCTGCATGTGTTTGTGCATGCATATCACAGTATATTAAATATCTGCATGTGTTTGTGCGTGCATAACACAGTATATTAAATATCTGCATGTGTTTGTGCGTGCATAACACAGTATATTAAATATCTGCATGTGTTTGTGCGTGCATAACACAGTATATTAAATATCTGCATGTGTTTGTGCATGAAAGTAACAGTATATTAAATATCTGCATGTGTTTGTGCATGCATATCACAGTATATTAAATATCTGCATGTGTTTGTGCATGTTCATTATGTCTACATTTAAATTATTGAATGTCTGCGTATGTCATGCTTATTTATTATCACTAAACTGAGTTATTGGATATCCTCTTAAGGTCCAAGGTGTTTTTTTACATGCATTTTTTATTTTTCTTTGCTATTTTGGCTTACTGGAACCTAATTAGAATAAAAATCTTTTGATATGATGTACTTTTAGATAAAGATGATGTCCATATATGTGGACTCGTGGTCCCATTTTACTCAAAACACTTTCTCCTAATTTTTTTAATGCATATTTAACATGGAATATTTTGTTGAACTTGCTTTAACTATCAGAGAGTAAACAACATTTTCCCCCATTTGGGACAGTTTAAAATAGTGTTTGGGACATTTCATATGCTGCAGAACAGTTGCAGGATGACACTGCATGTCTGTAACTAAATATAAAACATTTAAAGTAATATTTACAGCCACTTAAGAGCTAAAACGTGCTGTCCACATATGTGGATACTCAAGCCCTAGGAGGTTATGTGCATGTTCATTATTACTGCATGTATATCAGCACTTGTGTGTGTGTGTGTGTGTGTGTGTGCATGTTAGTTATCACCATATATTAAGTTATTGAATATCTGCATATGTCTGTGCATGTTCATCATCACTATTATTGACTGTCTACATGCTTCAGTCACAGGAGATGACGGCTCAGAGTCAGGGTGAGGACTGGGAAACGGGTTCAGACAACAGTGATTTCGGTGACTGGCGGGAGAAGCGAGGGCCGCACGGGGATCCGCTGACAGACGCGGCTCTCGGAGATCCGGGATCTGAGAAGAGAGAACTCTCCAAACGCAGCTTTTCCAGCCAGCGGCCGCTGGACCGACAGAACCGCAAGAATGACGTGTCTGTGATGGAGAACAGCAAGATGGGCCGTCCGGCAGATGCAGGATCCAGAAACGACAGCTGGCAGAATGGAGTCGCGTCCGGCAGCAAACGGTGCGCCGCTTTATAGCATGAGCTCTAGATCTTCATTAAAGCAGAGCTGTTGATTAAGTGTGGCGTCAAGTGATTGCCTTAAACAGCAATGCTTTATTGGTATCTAACAACATGCACTAGGTTTGATTTCAGATGAACAAAGCTCTCAGATTAACTGCAGAATCTTGACCTTTGCGTGAACTAACCCTTTCGCTTCTTCTCTACAGATCTCCAGAAGAGTCTGTCAGCGGTCTGAGCTCTGCGTCGGTGTACGGTGTGGAGCAGAACGAAGACCGCAGCACGCCTGAGCCCACAGGGAAGATCATAGAGAAAGAGTTGAAGCCCAGAAACATGAAGGCGGACATGACTGAACCGCTGTCCCAGTACGACCTCAACACTTACTCGAGTAAGCCAGAAGCTGTGCGCTCTTTCCATTCACAATGTCTGACCGCACACCGGTGTCAGAGATTATATTCAGTGCTATTTTTAAATGATGATTTGTGTTTCTCCACAGTTGAGAGTGACTCTGGAGCGTCGGTTCCCAGTCCAGAGGTTTTCCAGGATTCTCTGTCTAAAAAGCAGCGCCGTCCGCAGGAGGACGAGCGCAGGAGGAAGGAGCAGGGCCCTCCGGTAGGTCATCCCGAACATTTTACATACACACAGTAACATTTACTAACACTTAAGTGCTCTAAGATAACTCTGTTGAACACAAAAGAAGATACTTCGAAGAATGCTGGTAGAAAACAGCCATTGACACTCATAGTAGGAGCAGAATATGCAGTTTATTTTTTCCAGCATTCTTCAGAAAATCTAACAGAAACTCAATTTAATTTGTATTATTTTGGGGTGAACTGTCTCTTTAAGACGCATTAATATTCAGAATGCATCCAAAAGATTATTGCTTCTGCTATTGTACTAGTATTTCCAGACTACGGCTGCACGACATATCGCAAAATTACTACCTTTAGCTCCGCCCCCTTAGTGGTTGCTGTTCTGCTATTGGCTGTCATAGAAAATAATTTACAAGCATGGCTAATAGAAATAGTACACTCAACAGCAACATTGCATGTTTTTCCAGTATTAATTTGCCCTGTTTTTTTGCCGTCTCATATTTGTTTGTGCATCTGTAGAGTTCAGTAAAGAGCAGAACAATTGCTTCAAAGATGCCTCCGCGGTTTGCCAAGAAGCAGGGCAGCATGTCCATGGAGCAGCCGGAGGAGACGCTCACCGCAAACAACCTGGGAACTGAGATCTGGGAGACCAACAGCACAGGTAAAACACACACACACACACACACACACACACCTGCTAAATATGGATGAATACTGATGAACTCTATCAGTCCTTATTGCTGGAGTTGCCTCAGAAGACTGAGAACACACAACGCATGCTGAGAGAAATGAGATGCTGCGTTCTTCCAGATGGTCACATGCATTTTAACAGAAATCATTTAAATGTCACAACATTCATACAACATACATACATTTATATATATATATATATATATATATATATATATATATATATATATATATATATATATAATGTATGTATGTTGTATGAATGCTATGACATTTAAATGATTTCTGTTCAAATATATATATATGAAGAGTTTAGATGCAAAAACCTCTAAATGCCATCTGAAACTGTCTCCTAAAATGAGCATTTTTCTCAGCCTCTTATGTTTGAGTTATTTCACTTTTAAGGCAATGATAAAAACTATTTTGTCATTATAAAATTAACATTTCTCAGCGTACACATACGATTTGGATAAAAAAGCTAATTTTAGACGAAAATATCAAGCGGCATTTAGAGGTTTTTACATCTAAACTCTTCATATATTTATTTATTTTTAAACATTTCTATATATTTTATTTATTTTTATTTTTTATTATTTATATATATATATGTGTGTGTGTGTGTGTGTGTGTGTGTGTGTGCACAAAAGCATTACTAAGGCAATATGTTAATATGAATTTCAGCAAATAAAGACCGTTAATGTATTTATAGCTTTGTTAATGTTTCAGCATTGTTGCATGTAGGGTAACTCCTGACATTATATTTCTGAATTATTAATTAATTGGTGTGTAAAATGCTGTGCTTACCATCTCCTTCATTTAGCTGCAATGGCTTCTGGGAGTTCTAGAGCGAGTTCCGAGCTCAAATATTCATCTGATGCATCCTCAATGTCAGGAGTGCGTCAGGGTTCTGTCACGGGTTCTTGAGTTTAGGAACTGAACTGGTGATTGATGATGATGTTACACGCTTTATCATCTATTAATACTCAAGTGTGTGTTTTCCTCCTGAAGCTCTGACTGTGCAGTCGTCAGGAGGCGATTCCTGGACTAAACAGGTTTCCTACACGGGGAGCGAACCCAACTCAGAGGTACAGCACCAGAACTCTTGTGAAAATGCTGTCATCATTAAGCCTCCATTTACCCATTCCAAACCTGTTTATGTTTCTTTCTTCTGTTGAACGCTAAGGAAGATATTTTGAAGAATGTTGGAAACCTGTAACCATTGGCTCCCATTGTATTTTTGTTCCTACTTTGGAAGTCAGTGGTTTCAGGTTTTCATCTTGCTTTAAAATAATCCTCATGTGTGTTAGACAGAAGAAAGAAACTTATAAAGGTTTGGAGCCACTTGAAGGAGAGTAAATATGAGTAATGTTCTGCTGAACGGTCTCTTTAATCAAGAAGAGGTGTATTTAAATGTAAAGGAAGCAGAGTGTGTTAAGCAAATGTTCATTTTTTAGTGTGAACGACCCCTTCACCATCCCTCTGCTCTGTCCTGCAGGATTCAGATGCGGGACCGGAGCAGAGTAAAGAGCACAAGCCTGGTCCGATCGGGAATGAGCGCTCGCTGAAGAACCGGAAAGGCTCAGAGGGTCTGGAGCGCCTGGAGGGATCCATCACTCCCGTTAACGGCGTGGATATTCACGTGGAAAACGTCATTCCTGTGCCGCCCATCGAGTTCGGCGTCAATGCGAAAGATTCAGACTTCAGCCTTCCTGCAGGATCTGCAGCCGTGCCCGTCTCCAACCCCGTCTCCAAACTGCAGGACGCCCTCGCCGGGAACGTGAGTCAACATCAGTGCACCAGTGAATCAGTTCAGGGAGTCACGATTCAATTCCAAAAGGATTCGTTATAGGCATGACCTGCTATTGAGCTTATTGTTGACGTTCGAGCGGACGCAGCCATTAGAATCTTTTTGGCTCCAGACTTCTGCTCTCATTCACTTCTGTTGAGTTTTAGATGTCAGAAACGGCTGCTTCTGCTGCTTGATGTTGCATATTTGCAAGTTTCTTATTATATTATTCTACTTTTCATGTATACCCATGAACACACTTGTGTGCAGAGCGAGCAGTTTGGCTGTTTTGTGCTGTTTATTAATATTCCTAGTCATTTCTCCCATAGGAAACTGAGTCAGAAGGTCTAAAATAATCACATGAATTAGATCACTTCCGCATCGCAGACCAAGATCAATAAGATTCTGATGATATGATCTAAATGTGCAAGTTCAGTGAATTCTGCAGCATTAATACACCTGTTGAAGTGTATTATTGTTCTGTTTGTAGCTCACGCCCGCACTGTCAATATCTCAATTGAAAGTTCTACATCTAAAATGTTCAATAAATAATCTAAAACAGTTTTTAAATTGAATAAAGAATCAGTTTGAAGATTCTGAATCGATTCTTAGAGCAAAGAATCGTGATTCATTGATGAATCGTTTGTTTTTTCCACCCCATTAGAGCTTTTCTTTATAGCCTGCATCTTTAAAAATCTGAAGTTCGTCCATCTTTATCCAAATTAAGTGGATGTGGAAGCATCATGATTTTCTTGAACAGTATTGCGATTTTAATCCGGGTTTTGTCTGAGACAGACTGAATCTGTGTTGACAGTGTGAATCTGGAACATATTTCTAAAGAAAAACATTTAGCTCTCTATCAAAGACCAGGGGTCCGTTCTTCGTACGTGGATTACTCAGTTAGCTGGATTTGGATATTGAGGATTTGACATGATCCAGGATCGTTTTCTTCTTCAAAGCTGATCCGAGAGTTGTTGTCATAGCAACAGTTCTGCTAGATCAAACCTGATCGGGAGCAGGTTCAATTCATATAAACCGGATTAGATCGGCTCAGTTCAAGCAAAGATAATACAGAAAGTATGTTCTGAATTCAGATATTTTCTTACAGTAGTAGTTGTATACACTTGGGAAAATGGTACATATTTTTTAACTATATATATATATATATATATATATATATAAAGTTATAGTCATTAATAAAATAAATAAAGTTATACATATTAATAAAACTTATGCAATCTGTACCATCGAAATGAAAGTACAAAGACTGCCACCTGCTGGTGAAACTTATTGATATGAACTTTTTAGATCGCTTTAGTACAAATTGTGTATAATAGAAATGCAGAATATGTGACTTTTTTTAAAGTAATAATACATTTATGCAGTCATAAACATGTTTTGATAGTTAATAGTGATTTGAAGCTTCACAAAAGTTGCAGACGCCTTTACCAATATCAAAATGCTTTTGTAAACAACCAGTTATTCTTTACACCGATTAAAAAAACGGCTACTATGATAAAGAAAATATTTTCTAAATGTGGAACTAAATACACTGATATGCATTGAAATACAAGTGTAAAGTCTGCAGCTCACAACAAATGTGGAAGGTTCTTGCGTGTCATATTTAACAAACCGTTTCTGCTCATTTAACGTAATTTTGCTCACATGGATAATTGAATATTAATCAGATGATGTCATCACGCTGCTGTGCCGTCAGCCAATCAGCATTGCTGATCATGATTTCGAGGATGGATAGATCTGTCCTTCTCAACACACGCAGCAATCTCAGATCAGTTCATCCAGACATTCTAATCTGATTCACGAACTTGTTTGAAGAACCAAATTAGCGCGAGATCAGTTATCAAGATTAAAAGATCCAGGACCTGTCAAATCATCTTAGATCATTTAAGCGAGGTACGAAGAACGGACCCCTGTAACGTGTCTCCAAAACAGACAGAAAATAAAAGTAAAGCTGGAACTAATGGTCTCTAGAACAGACCCATGGCTCAAGTAAGGCTCCGATGTTCTGCTTGACCGAAAATCTGATGTAGTAGTGTGTGTTCACAGACAGATCATCGAGCTCTGACACTGCTGTAAAATAGGTCGTTCACTTATCGCGTTTTTTGCGCACACAAGTCCAGTGGAGGCGTGTACATTGCATACACATATTGAGACCATATTGCTCACGCTTTCATCCTATTGGCTATTCAGTCTCCTGTTCACGTGCTGTGTCTAAATGCGCTGCATTATGATTGGTTGTAATACCGTACTGCGGGATTATCCTGCTATAGGGCGAATTGGTAATTGTGTGTAATTACAGTACGATTTCGATTAATCACACAGCCCTAATACATGCGCCTGTCAAAGTGTATTCTGCTTCCATCTAATGCCTGCAGCGTCAAGATCTCATTTGAAAGTTCTACATCTAAATTCTTTATTAATTAACATCTAATTTGCATACAGAAACAGTTTAAGAATCGATTCAGAGTCTCTAAGGAGTCGTGACTCATTGAATCATTTGTTCTGGGGTTTTGTTTTCTCCCACCCCATCAGAGCAGTGTAAGCTAGCCTGAATGTTGTGTGTTTGTGTGTGTGTGTGCAGGCGGGCCTGACTCAAGCCATCCCGATGCTGCGCAGAGATCACCTGCAGCCCGCCATTACCCTGAACCCCATCAGCTTCCCCTCCGCTGACCTCACGCTCAAGGTAACGCCCACCTGCTGAGATCGAGAATATTACAGGCTGTTGCTGATTTTCCCTGTTAGGAAGAGAAATAGTGTGTCATTTCACTGCTGTCAGCATTAACCCTGCAGATCAGCCTGTGCTGAAGAGTTTCTGCCTGTTAGATAGAGTTCAGTGGAGTAAAACAGGTGTGTGTGTGTGTGTGTGTGTGTGTGTGTGTGTGTGTGTGTGTGTGTGTAGGATTGGGATTGAGTGTGTGTGTAGGATTGGGATTGAGTGTGTGTGATTGGGATTGTGTGTGTGTGTGTTTGGGATTGGGTGTGTGTGTGTGTGTGTTTGTTTGGGATTGGGTGTGTGTGTGTGTGTGTTTGGGATTGGGTGTGTGTGTGTGTGTGTGTGTGTTTGGGATTGGGTGTGTGTGTGTGTGTTTGGGATTGAATGTGTGTGCGCGTGTGTGTTTGGGATTGGGTGTGTGCGTGCGTGCGTGCGTGCGTGCGTGCGTGCGTGCGTGCGTGCGTGTGTGTGTGTGTGTTCTGACAGCTGACAGGCTTATTTTGAGTTTCTCTGACAGATCAAGTACGCAAAGATTTCTCTCACACACACACACACACACACACACACACTCTCTCTCTATAATCCATATAGAGGGCAGACACTAGGCTTGTTTCCTGCTCTGCAGGTGATGATCAACAGTAAATGACTGATGTTTCCTCCATTGTGTGCAGATGGAGTCCGCCAGGAAGGCGTGGGAGAACTCTCAGGCTGTGCCGGAGCAGGGGTCTCCAGGCTCCGGCTCTTCAGCTCAGCCGGTCTGCAGTGTGGGCTCCTCCAGCGTCAGCTACAGCTCCTTCTCCATGCCACCCATGCCTGTGGCGTCTGTGGCCCCGTCCGTCTCCATGCAGGGTCAGTCAGTGTGTGTGTGTGCGTGTGTGTGTGCGTGTGTGTGTGCGTGTGCGTGTGCGTGTGCGCGTGCGCGCGTGCGTGCGTGCGTGCGTGCGTGTGTGTGTGTGTGTGTGTGCGTGTGCGTGTGAGTGTGTGTGTGTGTGTGTGTGTGCGTGTGTATGTTTCTCTAACGCTGAATGGTTTGTGTGTGTTGCAGGCAGCCACATCCCTCCTCTGTATCTGGATGGTCATGTGTTTCCCAGTCAGCCTCGTCTGGTGCCGCCGCTCACCCAGCAGCCCAGCTACCAGCAGGTCAACCATATTAAACACGCTTAATGACAATGTCAAAATACAAAGACTGTAGAGCAGGACCATTTAACACCAATATCAAACACAGCTGTCCTCAGTATTGTAAGATTATACTTTTATTTTATTTACTTATTTCTTTTATTAATTCATTTTATTTATTTATTTTCCCAATCTGTCAACAGAATGAATGTAGGAGGTTGTGTGTAACGGGTGTAACAGGCCCTTGAAAAAGTGTGTATAACATGTAAATATTAATCTGTGTGTGTGTGTGCAGGCGACCCCTCAGCAGATCCCCATCTCTCTGCACACGTCTCTGCAGGCTCAGGCTCAGCTGGGTCTGCGTGGAGCTCTGCCCGTCTCTCAGTCACAAGAGATCTTCAGCTCCATCCCTCCATTCAGGTGCGCTAATACACTCGTACACAAACTACTGTCAATAAGTAGATGAAGTTATACGCATGAAACCAAATTCACTAAACCTCTCTGTCCTGCTCATCCACTGGTAAGCACAGAAGCTAGTGAGCTTATTTTGGATGAGAAAAATATGCATGTATAATAATAATAATGATTAAATTATTAAAATAAAAGTATTAAATAAGAAAAACAATAACTGTGAACATTATTTTATCTGCTGCGTAAAACGTGCTGGGTAAGTTGGCGGTTCATTCCGCTGTGGTGACCCCAGGGGCTAAACCGAAAGAAAATAAATGAATGAATATATAAACATTATTTTCTGTTTTTTGTGTGTGTTTATTAAATCTTTTTTTAAATAGCAGGATAGTTTTACAGGAAAATGGAAATAATGTTCCCAACCCTTCCCCATAAACAAAAGGAAATTACAATTGCATATAAGAATGCCAAAATAAACCGAAAATGGATGAAAAAATACAAATAAAATTATTAATAGACAGTCCGAGTTGTGAGTGCTGATCTGCGGTCTGTGTGTGTGTTGTGCAGGTCTCAGGTGTACATGCACCCTAACCTGTCCCAGGCGAGCCCCATGGTGCTGTCGGGTGGAGCTGCTCTGAAAGGGCCGTACTCCGCCTTCCCCGGCCTGCAGCCCTCAGACCTGGTCAAATCTCAGTCCGGATCCCACTACCAGCCCATCAACGGCAGCACGCCACTGGTGTACGACCAGCCCACAGGCATGAGCACCTCACAGCTGATGGACTCGCAGCTCATTCAGGCAAGATGAAACTCTGTGTGTTATAGGACAGTGTTGTTTATAAACGGTTGGTAAATTTGATCTGTATTGGCCGTCATGTACCGGTTTAAGCTGATCAGGCACTAATCTCTCTACTAATATTAAATACATGTTTTTTAGATGTATTAAACCTGTTGTAGGGGCTTCGGTGCTCTATAATATACACTCACTGGCCACTTTATTAGGTACACCTTACTAGTGCCGGGTTGGACTCCCTTTTGCCTTCAGAACTGCTTTAATCCTTCATGGCAGAGATTCAACAAGCTACTGGAAATATTCCTCAGAGATTTTGCTCCATATTGTCATGATAGCATCACACAGTTGCTGCAGATTTGTCGGCTGCACATCCATGATGCCAATCTCCCGTTCCACCACATCCCAAAGCTGCTCTATTGGATTGAGCTCTGGTGACTGTGGAGGCCATTTGAGTACAGTGAACAGTGATCGCCAGTCTGAGATGATTGAGCTTTATGACATGCTGCGTTATCCTGCTGGAAGTAGCCATCAGAAGATGGAGACACTGTGCTCATAAAGGGATGGACATGGTCAGCAGCAATACTCAGGTAGGCTGTGGCGTTGATGCTCAATTGGTACTAATGGACCCAAAGAAAATCTCCCCCACACCATTACACCACCACCACCAGCCTGAACCGCTGATACAAGGCAGGATGATCCATGCTTTCATGTTGTTGAGGCCAAATTCTGACCCGACCCTAGAGATGGTTGTGCGTGAAAATCCCAGTAGATCAGCAGTTTCTGAAATACTCAGAGCAGCCCGTCTGGCAGCAACAACCATGCCACGTTCAGTCACTTAAATCCCCTTTCTTCCCCATTCTGATGCTCAGTCTGAACTGCAGCAGATCCTCTTGACCATGTCTACCTGCCTAAATGCAGTGAGCTGCTGCCATGTGATTGGCTGATTAGAAATGTGCCTTAATGAGCAGTTGGACAGGTGTACCTAATAAAGTGGCCAGCAAGTGGATTTAAAACCCCATATTAGCTGCTCTTTATTATGCAAACTGCAGAATCAGATGAACTGGACTCTGCGTGACCATTAAAGAGTTTATTGGCTAACAGATAAATGTGTGTGTTTTCAGGTGACGATGCCGATGCCAGGCTCTCAGCTGCGCTATGGTTCAGCCCAGCAGCACCTCATCCTCCCGCAGTCCATCCAGCTCCAGCAGAACCAGAATCTGTCTGTGGGAGCTCCACGCCGCATGATGCCCCCAGGGTCACAGCCAGTGCTAAGCGGCAGCAGAGAGGTCAAACAACAGACGCACACACTTATATGCACATACACACACACACACACATGCATATGCATAGTGGTATATTACTCTAGTTATAGGTGGAGCCTCAGAGCCACACCCACTTCTTAGATAATCAGCATGGACCAATGGGAGTTAAAGACTTTATTTATTTATTTATTTTTCATTATTATTATATGAGTTTTTTTATTAATCATTTACATCAGTGTTTCTCAACCACGTTCCTGGAGGAGCACCAGCACTGCATGTTTTGGATGTCTCCTTTCAAGGTCTTTCACCCAATCAAGGTCTGTCAGTCTCAGCTAATGAGCTGATGATCTAAATCAGCTGTGTTTGGTGAAGGAGACATGGAAAATGTGCAGAGCTGGTGCTCCTCCAGGAACGTGGTTGAGAAACACTGATTTCTATTCATCATTTAGTTGAATTTCAATATATGTTTTTAAATCAGCCTCTTTAAGTGAGTGTGAGCTCAAGCAATGTTGGTTTAGATGAATGTGAAGTGTGTTGCTGGACGTTGTTTGTCTTCCTCTGCCTGATTTCCACCTGTCTGAGTTACTGTTCCTCTGTCAGGTTTCACAGATGGACATGAAAGGCTTTCAGTTCTCAGATAAACCCAGCCACTCTCCTGGAATACCCAGCGGCTCATACAGGTGAACACACACACACACACACACACTCACACACTCACACAAAACTGCACTTACAAACATACACATGCAGATATGTGCACACCTGCCCATGCATACACACCTCTACAGGCAGACACGCACACACACACACACATCAGTACACACACACCCTCACATATTCATTTAAAGGTAATTTAAATAACCCAGAATGGAGCACAGACAGACAGGAGTGTGTGTTTGTGTGTTATTAATGAGCTTGTGTGTGTTCGTCAGGCCCGGCTCTGCCAGCCCCAGTGGGAAAGCGTCGGGTGCTCCAGCGGTGGCGTCTCTTGCAGGACACTACACACAGCAGGTACGGCTGTACTGATGACTGAACCAACAATAAACAATTCACAATCAGTGCAAACAGCAAACAGCAGTCACTGGCAACCAGGTTTAAGATGACGACTAGCGCAAACGCTGAATAGTGTTCTGAATTAATCAGCGGTCATCCTGTGAAATCTGTTCTGAGAAACACCAGTAGATGGCGCCAAACACATCAGTCAACAGCAGGATTATATACACAAACACAGTTACTATATTAGCATAACACATGTTCTCACTCACTGACCTCTTTTCGTGTGTGTGTGTGTGCGTGTGTTTGTGCTTGTGTTTTATCTATCTGTATATCTGTGTGTGTGTGTGCAGGTGTCGGGTCCTCAGGGCAGTATGGTGATGCACATGCGTCCCCCCAGCAGCGGGCCCTTCCCCACCCCCATCCAGCGGCCCATCATGCAGGTCAACAAGCCCGTGATCATCCGCTCCCCGCCGTACCCCGGCCCAAACACCGGCCCCGCACACACACACGCACACACACACAACCCTGAGGGCCCCGGCAAGGGCCCGGAGGACGGCCTGAAGGTGAGCCACCCACTCTGAGCATAGGTAAATCCATCATCACATCCTTCTCTACTCACAGTCTCTCACCAATACTGCACAGTTAGAAGAGTGTGTGTGTGTGTGTGTGTGTGTGTGTGTGTAGTGTTGTCATGATACTGAAATTCGGTACTGAAATTTTAAAAGCGTCCATGTCCTGTTAACATATAAGCGCTGCTGAGCTCATTCTTAAACAGCGCTGATTGGCCAACGTGTTCATGTGCTCAACACAAATGACTGTGATTGGCCGTGAAGGTCATCAGTTCACCGAGCTCGGCTCTGTTTAGTGAGTGTAACCTCATACACAGGGACACTGGAGCATTTCAAAGCTGCGATTCATCAGCTGATAGCTCATATGTCAGCTTCTAGACAAACCAGCTGATCTCCACTGCTTTAGAATAACCCCAGTGTGTCTGTGTCTGTGTTACTCTCGGTAAACAGCGGTGAGCACAGTGGCAAATCAGCCGTGTTTAATGGCCCATTTCCACTGAGTGGTACGGTGTGGTACACTTTTATGGCTGTTTCCACTGTCAGAAGGTACCTAAAAGTGAATCGTACCGTAAGACTTTTTGGTTACCCTTTGCAATTGGTACCAACAGGCCCACAAGTGTACGATAGGGCAGAGCTAGACGCACAGCTGGATGCTATTGGTTTACAGTGAAGCGTCACTCACAGAAGCAGGAGAATGAAAACAAAACAAGCACCACACAGCAGACACTAAGGGTGTCAATTGAAATCGATCGAAATTCATGCTCAATTTCGATTATCAAATCAAAAATGGAATCGTTAATGCTGCCCTGCCCCCATGTCACGTCAGCTGGGCTTGCCAAGCGGAGAAAAGACACGCTTGTTGAACTGCAGACCGTCGACAGAGCTTCAACCCTCTCCTCCTTCAGTGAAGTCACCGGTGTGGAAGTGTTTTGGATTTCCAGTGAGTAATGTTGACAACAACAAAAAAAACGCAGTTTGAAAGCTCTGCTATAAGGTTGGGCCGATAGACAACACCGGCATCGCGATCCCCCGGTGCAAATCCGCTCGCGAAAAATACACACTCAGGCTGTGTTTACACTAATAGGTCTTAGGGTGCTTTCACACCTACACTTTTGTTTGGGAACGTGTCTCGTTTGCCCAGTTAGCGCGGTTCGTTTGGCATATGTGAACAGGGCAATCGCGCTCTGTTCCGCTTATTAAAAACGGAAAAATTATTTTGAATCTAAAATTATTTGTTTATGGGTAAAACAAAGACCATGCAGGTCAGGTAGTTTAAACGGTAGGCTACAAATAATTAATTGGTCATTAATTAATTATAATTGAAAATCGGATCGAATCGTGCCTTTAGAATCGAAAATGTAATCGAATCGAGGATTTGGAGGATCGTGACACCCTTATTAGTGATGAAATGCGTAAAGCCTCTGTGCTGTGAGAAGTGCTGCTCGTATGATATGTGAATGACCCGTACAGCTTTACTGTTGACGATTCCTCCTGCGAAAATGACCGCGACTGCAACTTTGTCGTACACCACGCCCCTTTTGGCAGTGGAAAAGCAAGCTAGTTAAAGGTGACCCGCACCTTCCTGTACTGTTCTGTAGCGCTCGGTGGAAACGGGCCACTACAGAACTCGCTCTACAGCGCTCAAATGTTAGCGGGAAATGGACCTTTTTAAAATCTCAGTACCGACTGATACTGAATTCCAGTATTGTGAAAACCCTATATATGTGTGTATATATATATATATATATATATATATATGTGTGCGTGCGTGCGTGTTTATCTCTCTGTGTGAGACTCTGACTGTGTGTGTGTGTGTGTGTGTTTGTGTGTGTGTGTCTGAGGCCCTGTTTACACTAATAGACTTTAGTTTTAAAACGCGTTAGTTTTGCTACGCTTACGCCATCCGTCCACACTACCCTGGAGTTTTCCAGCGCCGAAAATGGAGCGTTTTGGAAACGCTGAAGAGGCTGTTTGGTTTTAAACACTGCATGTCAGTGTGGATGGATGAAAACGGAGCTGTGGCTGCAGACATTTGCACTCCCGGATTAGGTCCTTTCCTCAATATTAGGTGCGCACCGTTCAATCTTTCACCCTTTCAATTCAGGCTAGTTTTCTATAGTAAACAAACTCCTGAGGACTCTGAGTAAATCTTCATAGGGAACAGTGTACTTTATAACCTCGTTCACATCACCCTGGCTACAGAACTTTTAACATGGCTACATAACTATTTTCATTTTGATATTAACTTAACAGACTCCAAAAAATATTGAGGCGTCGTGTAGCTGCATATTGATATGAGCCTCATCTTCACTGTGTGTATATTTAAAACAAACGCTGATAACAGAACTGCCTCCTGCTGTCTCTTTTGCTGAATGTTAGTGTCGCGGAGGCCAGCTGGTAAGTGCTGTGCTGGTAAACCTCACTCTTCTGTTACCCGCTCCACTTTAGCCTCCCTGGTAGAGCAACCGACTACCATGCGGAAGGTTGCCGGTTCGATCCCAGCTCGGAGCGGGTTGAGTGGTGCAGGACCAGCGGGGCTACATTAGTTTTAATTATCAATAATGGTGATTAATAATACTAGGGCTGCACGATATATCTAAGATTGCTATATTTGTTTTTATTTTTGCAATATAAATATATATATTGAGAGATTATTACAATTTCACCAGATGACTTAATATCTTTAGTTGGAAAATTTTTTTAATGTTAGATGGATTGGGATGTTTCTGCAGTGGGAGTGCATCTGCATAAAGTCTATAACATGTCTGTTGTTGTTTGTGCTACTTGCCGTGCGTTTCTCTATTTGCATGTGTTGAGTATTTTCATGCACGTGTTTAGTCGGAGATTGCTGAATTAATGTTTACTATTTGCATCTCCTCAATCTAAACAATCTATTAATTTTCTGGAGCACACGTTTCCGTTGTGCTCTGTGCTATTTGCAGTGCATTTCTGTATTTACATGTTTTATATTTTCATGCTTAATAACTTAAATACCATTAAGAAAAGGATCAAATTGAAATAAAGAGTTTAACTGTTACCCGAGTCTCGCAGTGCTCAAGTACAGTAACTGAATGATGAACATTATTTAATAGAATTAATCATAAAGTCACAAATGCTACAATTTCTGATACCTGAATGTTTTTAAAAATCATTAAACAATCACAGACATCAAAAACACATGATTAATTAAAACACACACTCGACTGTGAATGATCATTGCGATATCGATGCTGAGATGATGTATGTGCAGCTCTAAATAACACAGTAGGTTTATACAGTATTGGAAATAAAGGCAAGCAGTCAGTCAGATGTGCAGGATCAGTGTACGCTTACATGAATTAATATAGGAACTTCTTTGTGCTCAGCCCAAACACGTTACCTGACAACAATAATAGATTCAAAAGAGTCATGAGATGGAGACGAGATGAATTGAAGATCACGTTTACCTGCTATAGTGAGGTGAAATCCAGCGGTAGATCCTTGATGAACTGTCTGACGAGCACTGCTCTCACCTGGGGAGGTGTGCTCAAAGCCCCTGCTGACTGCCTGGAGCTCAGACGTGCGCATATGCTGCAGCTTGTGTGTGCGTGTGTGTGTGTAAGAGACAGCATTTCAGAAATGCTAGATGAAACGCCAGTGTGGATGTGGATTAACGCTGCTTTAAACTACAACACCTCAGTGTAAACAGGACCTCTGTTCGTCCGTCTGTGAGAATGTGAGACTGTGTGTGTGTGTGTGTGTGTGTGTGTGTGTGTGTGTGTGTGTGTGTGTGTGTGTGTGTGTGTGTGTGTGTGTGTGTGTGTGTGTGTGTGTGTGTGTGTGTGTGTGTGTGTGTGTGTGTGTGTGTGTGTGTGTGTATTGATTTTGAAAGCACAGAATAAATGTCGTGTGTTTGTTCTGCTGTTGTGCTCCTGTTCATTCTCCAGGTGTGTTTAATATCTGTCTTTCCCCACACAGGACATGACATAAATGTGGTTAATGTTGTGATTTGAATATTAATAAATGTAGATTAGTCTTAGTCTTTAGCTATGTTTAACTGATGTTCAGCACGCATTACTGAGAGATCTGGAATACTACACAGTAGAGCAGGTGTGCTGCAGCTTTACCTCATAGAAGAAAAGGAAAATGACAGCGGAGCTCATCATGATATCTGTGTAGGATGACTGTGCATGAAACATTTGAGCACGAAGATATTAATAATCTGTCTCTTCATTCTGAGGATAAATCGAAGAAACTTCATATGTAATGCACACCCACTGGCCACTTTATTAGGTACACCTCACTAGTACTGGGTTGGACCCAGTTAGCCTTCAGAACTGCTTTAATCCTTCATGTCAGAGATTCAACAAGCTACTGGAAATATTCCTCAGAGATTTTGCTCCATATTGTCATGATAGCATCACACAGCTGCTGCAGATTTGTCGGCTGCACATCCATGATGCCAATCTCACCACATCCCAAAGCTGCTCTATTGGATTGAGCTCTGGTGACTGTGGAGGCCATTTGAGTACAGTGAAATCATCGTCATGTTCAGCAGTCTGAGATGATTGAGCTTTATGACATGCTGCGTTATCCTGCTGGAAGTAGCCATCAGAAGATGGAGACACTGTGCTCATAAAGGGATGGACATGGTCAGCAGCAATACTCAGGTAGGCTGTGGCGTTGATGCTCAATTGGTACTAATGGACCCAAAGAAAATCTCCCCCACACCATTACACCACCACCACCAGCCTGAACCATTGATATAAAGCAGGATGGATCCATGCTTTAATGCTGTTTACACTGAATTCTGACCCTACCATCTGAATGACGCAGCAAAAATCAAAACTCATCAGACCAGGCAACGTTTTTCCAATCTTCTATTGTCCAATTTTGGTGAGTCTGTGCGTATTGTAGCCTCAGTTTTCTGTTCTTAGCTGACAGGAGCGGCACCCGGTGTGCTCTTCTGCT